GTACAGAAATCTCACTTATGTTTAATATCTAACCTGTAAGATATAATATATTCTAAAATATAATATAGTCTCTGAATGCATCTTTTAAAAAGAAAGAGTTAATAATGAGAACAGAATTGTGCAAATTCTAATGGATTTCACATAGCCCATCTATTTCTGTATTCCTAATTTGAACTTTGATTGTCCCAGATCTTAACCTTAAAAATGAAACCACATAAGTTGCCACATTCTTACCTCATGAAGATGTTATGAAGCCTAAGTAAAATATTAAGGATTTTAAATAAAAGTAACATTCTTATAATAATATATGCATTCTACTTTTGATAAAGGAAATCTTTCAGAGTAAATGTAACTTTGCCAACATTTATGTCCATATGAGGTTCCCAGTCTTTGCAGATTAGATTGTAAAAACTTTTGAAATAGTATCAATTGTTTGTCCAACATTTGAATGTGCAATAATTTGACAATACTGGAACTGGTGGAGAATACAATATTGTGAGGACTATTAAGCACTGAGGAGCTGTAAAACAAATTAACTTGAAGTTATTCGATACAGATGTTTTAAGAATGAGACTGATTTCCATTTTTAACCATATTTACCTGTCCTAAATTCCTATGTGGCTTCTGTTGGGAAACATATAAGAAGGACACATATACATATTCATATTCATGGAATATGATTCACAAACATTCAGATCTCCTGAAGCTGGAGTTACAGATGGTTGTGACCACCTCATAATGCTGTTGGGAACTGAACTTGGGTCCTCTGGAATAGCAGCAAGAGCTCTTAACTGTTGAACTATCTCTTTGCCTCACTAAATGGTTTTAAGTAATAAAACTATTAAGGAGCAGCATAAATGTACACAACCACACCATTCTCATTCTTGGAGTTCACTTATCTTTGTTTTTAATGTTAGGCCCTTTCAGAGAGGGTGGGCCTGTGTTTTCTCTCAATTGGTTCATTCAGTGTTCCAAAAGTAGAAAATGTTTATCTGAAAATACTGGTGGGAATTGACCTAAATTTGAATTCTTCTAAAAGTTTTGTGAATTATTTCATAGTAAAATTACAAACACAACACTCAGTTGTCAATGTGAGCTCTTGTGGATGTGGTTATGTTATGGAAGTAAACATGTCTGGCCCCTCTCGGTTCCCAATTTCTACAAGACAACGGCCCATCTGTGAGGTAAGAAGAACTAACTGCACTTTTAAAGAGACTAATTTCTCCCACTCATGTAATAGGAAAACTATAAAGTGAATGTCAAACTGTTTTTTTCAGTCTTTCCTCCAAATAATTGACCTGAAGTTCAGAAAAGAACACGAAAGGCAAACCATGAGATTTTTGTAAAAGAAAGACTTCATTAAAAACACTTTTATTAAATATTTCTGGCCACTTCATGTCTTCTCTTAGTCATTAGTATGTCAAAACATGGTAAAACCAAGGAATTGTTTTGGTTTGGTTATGTATATATGCATGTACGCATCTATCTATTCATCTGTTGAAGCTAGAAGGTTGAGATGTAGTTCTGGAATATGGTCTTTAGTAGCACATGCAATGTTATGGTTCTGTCCCCACCACTGCAGGAAGGAAAAGATTAAAGCATGAACATGGAAAAGAGAAGAATGAATGCCAAATATTTTAGAACATATGATTTTTGTAACATGTACTTCTTTACCTTAATTCTGCTTATAGTAATTTAAGAGATCATTGACCAGCTCTTTCTATCTCTGATCCTGTGACAGTGTTTGTATTCAGGACACTGAGCTTGGATAATGTGTCTTTAGTGTCTATGTTGTTACTGAGGTCTCAGTACATGAAATATTGGCTCTGAAACCTGGGCCCCCTGAACCCTAGAGATTTATGATGATATTAAGGAGTAGCTTTAGGCTTTCCCCTATAGCTGTTAAAGTTTCACGAACTCTAAAGTTTGTCTAGAACATTCCATCTCTTTATCTGACATCCCAATCCATAATTTAAAAAATGCTGTTTTAGTTCTTTTGTATGGCAATATGGACAAATGGTTAATTTAAAATATTGTTACAAAGAAAAGGATTGTTCTTTATCTGGCTTTACATGGTTGTTATGAGACTAGAAATCAAAGTTGAAAACATGCCTTCAACGTTGGTTTTCATGTGACAAAATGGAAATGTATTACAAACTATGCTTCAAACCTAATAACTTGCATCAATGAAACTGTCACATTTTATTACATTCTGAATCTATGTATAAACAATTAGTAATGGCAGGCTGAAAGGTCACCCAGGAAATAACTACTGGAACTTCCCCAGCGTGAAGCTGAAGGCAACTTGGACCAATGGCTCTCTTTGGTTTTTCCCCTTTTCCTGCTTTTATCCATTCTTTCATTGAGTTCTTCTGAAAGTCCATGGACAGGTTTCTGGGAGACTCAACATCTGGCAGTCAGCTACAGGCTAGAGAGGTTAGACATAATTATACCTCACTGTGACTCCAGTATGTTCCTTCCAGAGGCATAAATTCAGACCTAGGTTATGCCTAGTTGGGCAAGGGCCAGAGGAATTCAGACCACAGAGCACAGATGCATAAGACAGCAATAACTCTATTCACTCGAGATATTTTGCCTGAAAGAACCCTTTTTACAAGCTGTGAGGTCTGACTGAGATGTGAGCAGAAGGCTGTGGTTGAATCATTCTCACCTAGAACAGTACCACACCATGGAGCTCTCAGTACACTAGAGAATGAGGGGAAACAAGTTAGAACACTAGACAAGCTCTGTAACTGGCCAGCTCACAGGTAAGTATTCCTAAACAAATATGTATTCATTTCACTGTTTTATGTTTAAGTGAAAACCTAGAAAATAATTTTTATACACAAAGAGAATTGGGCAGAAAAGGCAAGTTTAAAAAGGCTTGGAAACTATAAATACAGAGACAATTTTCCAACTGAGATGAGGCTGAATTATATTTCCAATGCAAGGTTCTTAATTTGTAGCTAGGCATTCCAGGATCAAATACAATATGTTAGTAAATTGTTTTAGTAAAATAAACAAACAAACTGCAGTTCTAATTTGAAGAGCTAGTTGGCACTTTTCTTATAAGTGGTATCCCAAACATTCTCTGACCTCATTAGAAGAATTCTCTCTCTCTCTCTCTCTCTCTCTCTCTCTCTCTCTCTCTCTCTCCTCTCTCTCTCTCTCTCGCTCTCTCTCCCATGATTAGGATATTATTCTCTGGTGCATATATATATATACATATTATATGTATATATTATGTATATATATATATATAATTTGTAGTTGCATTTAATATATTCTACTCCCTATTTTTATCAATTCTAGCAATTATTCTTTGGTGCATATATATATACATATTATATGTATATATTATGTATATATATATATTTTGTAGTTGCATTTAATATATTCTACTCCCTATTTTTATCAATTCTAGCTAGTTTACCAATATGAAACCATATGAAAATTTTTATCTCATCCAATTAGTCATATTTTAAGGGATCATTTATAAAAGACCCCGTGGTTTTGAAGATCGGTGGCAAATAAAGAAATGAAAGTGCATGCCTGGTAAGCTTAATTGAAGACCCTTGAGCATTGATAGGACTTAAATACTGACAGTAGGCCCGAGCTTCTAGTATCTGTATCAATAGAAAAAAACAAAACAAACAAAAAACAGAAATAATGATGGCATTCGTTCATTCATTCAAAACATCTCTATTGAGTGACTAGTACATGCTGGTGTCTTTCCTCTTTCTACTTCAGTCCACTGTTGGACTTGTCGCTCATTGCTGAGAGAAATATTTCAGAAACTGCTAAAAGCAGACAGGAATGGTCAAGAGGATGGAATAACTGAGCAGGAAATCTAATATTTAGGGTTAAGAGGACGGTACTAAGAAGAAGAGACTTCCTCAGAAACAAGTCCCTCCTCTTAGGCTTTCCCTGTGAGGTGATCCTGTTTTTGGCCCTAAGGCCAGGCCCAGTATAGAAAGAAACTGAGGGGTCTGCCAGTTGGAGAATTCTGCCCATAGCTTTCCCTCCTCTGCCTCTTTCATTCAAGTTCAGGGCTGAATTTGCTGGAAAAGCCAATGACTGATATCTTAGCTTCAGCTGCCATGCTCTCTCCCTCTCCCATTCCCTCACAGTGCAACTCTACTCTGGAAGAGGCTAGCCACTCTGTGAGTCTTTAGCAGACTATGCACTTCTGAGAAGCCTTCCACTTTTCAGCTCCTCAATCAGAATTTACCTACAAGATGAGGATTGTGATCTTTAGGGTCCATCCACAATACTTTCTTGCCTTCCTTAGTCTCTTGTTTAATATAATAATAAAAAATACCTTTGGGACCAGGCAGCATAGAGCCCACTGATTCCACGCCTGCCTTAGGAAGCAAGGTTTTTGCAGAGGGATAAGGTTACGGCTGCCAGCCCAGGACTCAAGCAGTGAAGCCAGTGAAACGTGGGATTTCTCCCCTCCTCCCCCTCCCGCCTTCTAGGGACCAGGGGCTCCCAGACCGGTGCAAGTAGAGTATCTTTATTGAATACAGAAGCTCCTCGAACACCCCGTGTGCTCCGTGGCTTCTCAGCAATTCTTTTCATTCCCAAAGTGCAGTAGCCAAGCACCGGTCTCGCCTAACTCCCTCCCATTTCTTTTCGGGGAGGGCTGCCTGCGCCTCTTCTCCTCCCCACAGACAGCATGAATTCTTTAGGGGTGCTCAGTGCTTTGAGTTCCTTTCTTGAAGCCTCTCATCTGCCCTCAGTCTGAAGGTAGGGCTAGGTGTAGGACGGATCTCAGGGTCCCAGTCTGCGGGGCCAGAGAGAGAGGAGGGGGCGAGAGACAGGAAGGAAGCAAACCATCAAATTAAAAAAAAAAAATAGAGCCCTTTGACTTTTTTTTGTTTCACCCCCTCTCCCTTCCGGATGGCTGTGTAGCAAACGTAGGCGACACCTTGGAAGGGACGAAGTTGGTCTGCAGTGGCAATTCTTTGGGTTCACAGTTCTGAGCTTGGAGCTTGGAGATGGAGCCCTGGTCCAGGTGGAAAATGAAACGATGGGTCTGGAATCTCACCATCTCAACCATCGCCTTGACTTTCCTCTTCCAAGCCAGAGAGGTCAGAGGAGGTAAGGAGGAAAAAAAAAAATGTTTGGTGAGGTGGGACATTGCCACCGACTTTCTTCTTCTTGTGCCCTTCCCCCTTGTCTTCGCCCTACTTCTTTTAAATAAAATCCAGATTGTAGCTGCTACCAGGTTAGGAGTGGAAACTGGAGAGACAGCGAGATGGATGTAGGCGGGACAGTAATGCGAGAGGAGGTAGGTGGCAGGATTAAAAGATCTGTCAGGCACACAGCAGTCTGAAAAAGCCCTGCAACCCTTTCCACTTACTTTGCAAAAAGGGAAAAAAAATATAACTTTGAACGCGAAGGCAGTCGTACAAAGCTTTTGTTTCAAGAACAGTCTTTGCTCAGAGTACTCTGCCCTTTGAGCAACTCTTTGGGTTTCCCCAGGTTCTAATGGGGATATCTTTTGAAGGGTGAACTGAGGAGAAAATATAGAGAAAGGGTATAAAGTGAACTGTGATAAACTTCTTTGTCTGCAAGGAAGTGAGAAACGGGCTGTTTTTACTTTGGGGGATATAAGAGAAACCAGGGGGATAAATTTAGAAGATTGAGAGCACTTTGTGTGTGGCATTTTGAAATGCTTCTCAGTGGAATAATCTTCACAGATGATAAGTGAAGTTCAGGGCAGCGCGCGTGTCTGTGCGTGGGGGGGCACTTTCCCCTGATGTTTAGCCCCCTCCTCCTCTCCATGACCCCCCTCACCTTCACTAGTGCCTGGTGCCCACAAATAGCTTCTTGCAGGTTGGGCATGCAAATGTCTTGGAGGGTGATGAAAGTCTTCAAGCAAATAGGGTGGGGGGCAGACGAAAAGGGATTGGGAGGAAGAGGAGGGGGCCTGGGATGGGAGGAGGGAGGTAAGGAAAAGTTCCTACGTGGCACCACCAAATATTGAATGGCCAGACCTGTGTAGCTCACTGTAGCCCTGTCAGTACCGGAGGAGGGAGAGCGACTTCACTCCTCCCACCACTTCCTCCCTCCCTTGCCCCCGCCCTTTCCCTAAAAGGCATCTGGCTGCAGCGGTCCCTTAGGTGCTGTAGACTCGGCTGGCAGGAGAAAGCCTTTGGAGTTGGGGAGCCAGAGCAATTCACAGTAGAAAGCAAGCTTTGTCAGGAGTGAGGGAGAAGCTGGGGAATAGGGAGGAGAGGAGAGGAGAACAGGAAAAAAAAAAAAAAAAAAAAAAAAAAAAAAAAAAAAAAAAAA